TATTCTATTCTATTCTATTCTATTCTATTCTATTCTATTCTATTCTATTCTATTCCATTCCATTCCATTCTATTCTATTCCCGAAAATAGATACATTAAGCTGCTGCAAGGGAAAATGCAACCATCTCTAGCCACAAAGTCATCCAAACCTGTAAAAAAAATTTTTTAAAAAAATTAGGTCTGTCCAACTGCTGATATCAATGCATCGCTAGACTCATCCCCTCATGGTGCTTGGAAGCCAAAATACCAGCAAAGCTGCAAAAATTTCCATGTCTCTCTGCTGGCATGATGTGTTGATCCAATCAATGTGGCATCTTCAAATAATGACAGTTAAGAAAGGCATGATATAGTGCCATGATGGCGAACCTATGGCACGGGTACCACAGGTGGCATGCAGACCCATTTATGCAGGCATGCGAGCCCCAGCCAAACTGACCTGCACTGCATATGCGCATGCCTCCCAGCTGATTTTTGACCCGTTTGAGGCTTTTTACGGTTTCCCAGAGGCTTGAGGGAAGCTTCTGCAGCTTCTGGAGGCCGAAAAACAAGCCTGTTTCATCACTTCCTATATTTCCGGAAATACCGAAAGTGACAAAACGGGCCCATTTTTCGGCCTCCAAAGGCTGCAGAGGCTTTCCTCGAGCCGCTGGGAGGCCGAAAATCAGCTGGGAGGCACGCAATGCAGGTAAGGGGGCGGCGTGGGGGGGATCATGTGCGCATGCGCAGGGGGCGGGGGGGCATGTGCATTGCCTTCTGGGTGCTGGCACGCGAGCGTAATTTTTGGCACAGGAGCCCCAAAAGGTTAGCCACCACTGATATAGTGCAATGTCTGAATCCAACTAATGATAAAAATAGTTTTGCAATTCTGCCTTGTCTCATAAGTGACGTTCTAACAGATAATGTTCATTAGTGACAGACAACTTTACAGCAGGCTCACACGTCTGTACAGAGGAGAAACAAGATGGAGATTTGTTTTCACAAAATAATGAAGCTTTGGTCCCAGCATGTAATTAGGAACAAATGTGAATGCTTATGCCAGGTCTGGCATTTAATTTAGAAGAGCCTGTGTCTCTCTTGCAGTGCCCAACTGGGGCATCTTATACCATTCACAGGATTGTTGCAGGGTTCTGTTGAGTGTAAATAGAGCTTTTTTGTGTCTCAGAGGAATTGCAATTACCAGAGAAAAACAGCTTTTATTAAGTTGTGTCTGCGTGCTTTCATCTCTTTTTCATGCTAGCTTGAAAATCTAAATGCTAAAAGATACAATCTTCATGACCTGCAGCCAAAGATAAAATACGAATTCCAAGTTTCCTGCAGGCTTCTTCTGGAAAGGGGTTTATGGAGCGACTGGAGCCCAGCATTTCTAACAGAAGCAGGTAGTAAAATAATAACTCCACATGTCTAATGTTTATTTTGTTACGGATATAAAAATAAGCCATGGATAATTAATTCAGGCCAGGCTATAATTTCACAGGAACTTAGGGAGAAATGAAAAAAAATATTTTTAGTCCTAAAAAACTAAGTGAGGGAGGGAAGTCTATGCTCAAGCACTCTCACAAAATGGCTGCCACGAGCACTTGCTCATTCATAAAATGGTGGGGATCGATAGCAGTCAAATTCCATTTTCTAGGACAAATAAGGATGGTTACTTTGCTCCATTCTCTCTAGTCATTTGTAGGTATTTTCTATCCCTCCAAATTAATCTTAAATCTCTGTTTATTGGCAAATAAACACATTTCCAGCCAAAACCCTGGCGATCACTCATTTTTTAAATTAATTTTTCAAGAGTGCCTCTGAGACCTATTGGGCTTCAATGATATATTTGGAGGTGAAGATAACACTTCAGTTGAAACTTTGCTTATATGTATAAAAATATATGTTGCTTATGGTTTATCTAGAATGGAACCAACTTCAGCGTCTCATCCAGCATGGCTCCTTCTCTAACCCTAAGCTAAGACTGAGACTACCTGAGATGAATTACAGGTAGTCCTCAATTTACAACAGTTTATTCAGCAACCATTCAAAATTACAACGGCACTGAAAATAGTGACTTATGACTGTTTTTCACAATTATGATCTTTGTAGCATCCTCAGGCTCATGTGATCAAAATTCAGACGCTTTGGCAACTAGTTCATAGTTACGACTGCTGCCGTATCCTGGGGGTCATATGATCACCTATTGCAACCTTCTGACAAGCAAAGTGTTCTGAACCAAACCTGGGTCCAAGAGAGCAAACACAAGACAAAGGTAGCAGCACAACCTTTTAATGTTTCATTTACGAATCCTGTTTCTTCACAGATAAAAGGCTGCTTCCAACTAATTAGCTCCAACAAGAAAGAGCCTTGCCAAGTTTTTGCAAGGCTGCCAAAACAGTTGCAAGGCTGCCAATACGAAACAGTTTACAACACAAAAGTCTTCAAATACCAACTGTAATGCCCACAAAGCTGAGTTTCAAAACGTGTTTGCTTCCTACAAAGAATGTTCGCTGCACAGCTGCCTGTTATCTTCTTGAAGGAGGGGCCATTGCCTTGCAGCCTTACTTCCAAGTTGCCCGTGCTGTTGTAGCTGCTGTTTCCTATGAGCAACCCTGCACGGACGCGTACTTGACACAGGCTCCTCAGGAACCTCCTCATCGCTGCTGCCATCCCCCACAATCTCTGAAGGCAGCAGTCCACTGCCCAATGGTCCTAGCCCCTCATCTGAGTCCTCGCTCTCCTTTGCTGTCCACACCTGCTGCCAGCTAACCACAACATAAAGTCAATGGGGAAGCCAGATTCACTTAACAACTGTGTTACTAATTTATCAACTGCAGTTGTTCACTTAACAACTGTGTCAAGAAAGGTCATAAAATGGGCAAAACTCACTTAACAAATGTCTCACTTGGCAACATACATTCTGGGTTCAATTGTGGTTGTAAGTTAAGGATTATCTGTATCCCTTATTGCAGATGGGATATAAATATACAAGTAGTCTTTGACTTACAACCACAAACCAAAATTACTGTTGCTAAATGAGACATCTGTTAAGTGAGCTTTGCCCCCATGTTATGACCTTTCTTGCCACAGTTGTTCAGTGAATCACTGCAGTTAAGTTAGTAACACAGTTGTTAAGTGAATCTGGCTCCTCCATTGACCTAGCTTGACCAAAGGTTGCAAAAGGTGATCACAAGAACCGGGACACTATAACTGTCATAAATATGAATCAGTTGCCAAGCATCTGAATTTTGATCACTTGGCCATGAGGATGCTGCAACGGTCGTAAGTGTGAAAAACGGTCATAAATCCCTTTTCCCCCCAATGCTGTTGTAACTTCGTATGGTCATTAAACAAATTTGTTAGTTGAGGACTACCTGCAGATATCTGGAAAAAATAGAAAATAAATTGTGTGGCGGGGGATGTTGATATCTCCCAGCCCCGTGATGGTGAACCCATGGCAGGCGTGCCACAGGTGGCACGCAGAGCCATTTGTGGGGCACGTGAGCTCCAGCCAAATTTACCTCACTGCACATGCGCATGCCTCCCAGCTGATTTTCATCCTGTTTGAGGCCTTTTCCGGCCTCCCAGAGACTCAAGGAAAGCCTCTGCAACCTTTGGAGGCCGAAAAACAGGCCCGTTTCGTCACTTTCTGTATTTCCGGAAACATCAGAAGTGACAAAACGGGCCCAGTGCAGGTAATGGGGTGGGGGTGGGGGGAATCACGTGTGCATGTGCGGGGGTTGAGGCCCATGCACATTGCCTTCTGGGTGCTGGCATGCGAGCATGCGCAAGCGAGCGTGATCACAATTTTTAGCACAGCAGCCCAAAAAGCCCCTCCCTTTTTAAAGGTACTATCAAGGATGAAGACCCACTGACATCATACTTCGAAGAATTTCTATCTATGATCTGAGTTTTGGTAACTTTGGGGAAATTTCTTAGTTGGTAAAGCTAAATCATTACTTCTTTTGTTAGAAGGAGTAAACCCTTGATTGCCAAGTATCCATAGCATTCTTCCATTTGTTTCCTGCAAGCTGCCCAACACTTGGCAAAGTCGGCTCCCAAATTGATAGAAACATTACATTCTAAGGCTATTTTTCTTGGTTCCCAGTGCCGTTTGAACCTGTTGATGTCTGGTATTTAAAGAAGGAGACCGTTTCAAAAATGCAGAACATCACTCTCTTCTGGAAGGTAAACATTTCTGTACATATCTTGTTCTGATTTGGAAAAGGAGGTATCTGCAATTCAGAATATAGTTGTGAAAGAATGCAGCCATCAATGCTGCATTTTCCTGTGCAAATGACAGATGGGGTCAAAAAGTACCTTTTTCATCGCTGCTAGAAAGCTACAGAAGACTCGTCCCCTTCTCTACCTTAGCCCCTCTTTGGCCAGCCATAGAGAAAAATCAACCAGAGAAGGATACATCTTCACGACAGAGTGAATTTTGAACCCAATGTCTCTTGGGTTCTAGTCCCATTGTCCTGTATTGGGGCATGGCAGAACACACTAAAATTAACATGCAAAAATGTTCTCTCTTTTTTTTTTACAGTCAGTAAATGTATCAGGAACAATAAGCCAAAACTTCCACTATCAAGTGATATTTCTAAACCTCAACCAAATGCCACCTAGAACTGCAGAAATGAGTGTGACCACCCACACTGTTTTCTCGCACATCTCCCATAAGGCAGATTATAACATAACTCTTAATTCGAAGAATTCACGGGGAATCTCCCCGTCTGTCTACATAACCACAAAATTGGGAATTTCAGGTAAGGAACATTTTTTTTTTCTCATTAAGTTAATTGAATATTAGTTATTGGCCTCAGTTATTGGCCACAGAAAGAATTCCAGGGGTGGATTTTGCTTTGATCCATCAATAATATGAATTTGATTCCTTCACCATATAACGTAATACAATAGTACCAACTCAACAGATAAAGGTTATTCAGTTTAATTTTCTTTTGCATTACCTATTAATGAATTTTTTTGTCGCATGACTTTAGTTCAGGGATCTTCAAACTTGACAGCTTTAAGACTTGTGGACTTCAGCTCCCAGAATTCCTCCTCCACATGTTAGCTCAGGAATTCTTAGAGTTGAAGTTCACAAGTCTTAAATTTGCCAAGTTTGAAGACCCTTGCTTTAGTTCAATGTTACAGATCACTGATGACTTATAGTTCCATTGTGGAGTTCCAAATCTTATTCCATCTTACTAACATCTCTATGAGTGTTATTTCCATTTCTAAATTTAAATGTCTCCAGGGCTGATGAAGTTGCATCCTGGTTGAGCTGAATACAACCATTGGATTTCTTTTCTCTTCAAAGAACTGCTACCACCTAACCGGGTCTCCGCCGCACCCATGGACAATGAGAGGATAATTGTTAAATGGGAAGTACCTTCAGCACCTTCCTCTTCCATCAATGGATACATAGTTGAATGGGTAGAGATCCCTCAAGACTATCACAGGAACCCCTCCCCGACATGGCTTAAAATTCCTGTTTCTAATTGCACAGTGATCAAAGGTAAGCCCATATCGCAGGAAAACACATTGTTAACGAGAAAGGTTAGACAGGTGCTGCTTTTAAACATTCATACATTTAAGTGTCTGTTCAGCATTGCACAACCTTACCCAACCCAATGTAAAAGATGATATGCTGGAATGGATTACAGGCAATCCTCAATTTACAATCATTCATTTACTGACTGTCTGAAGTTACAACAGCAGTGAAAAACAGACTTATGACTGTTTTTCATACTTAATGATGCATTTACAACCTCCGTCCTAAAGTCTTTTCTCAAGGCTTTTGGTCTACAGATGGATAATTTTACAAGAATGCATGTTGCTTCTGTTTGATCATATAATTTCATTCTGCAAACTTCAGAAAAAAAAGGAGCTTAGTTTTGTTAATGAACAAAATAGCATTTTCTTATTGATAATCAATCCAGCAGAAGCAAGTCTGCATACGCTTTTATCCCTCAAGTCCAAATGTTTCCTAAATTTATCTGAGACGTAGAAAATGTACCATGTGGTCTTTAGGCAGGCGTGGGATTCAATTTTTTAAACAACTGGTTCTGTGTGTATGGCTTAGTTGGTAGGCGTGGCTTGGTGGTCATGTGACTGGCTGGGTGTGGCCAACTCAACATCACTCACATTGAGGCACGCATCTCCTCACCTGGCCCCTCATGACTGTGGGGATGCTGCAACAGTCATAAGTGTGAAAAATGGTCATAAGTCACTTTTTTCAGTGCCATTGTAACTTTGAATGGTCACTCCACACAAGCAAAGTACCAGCAAAGGAGGGGAAAAAAAACTCAAGAGAAGTTCCTGAGACAGGAAGACTAGTCCTGCCATGAATGTAATAAGGGTTAATGGAGAGGCAGTTTCTGTAAGCAACACCAGAATGTTAACAACCAGTTCTAGCGAATAGGTGTGAACCAGTAGAATCCCACCCCTGTCTTTAGGATAGAGGACCAAGAAGCAATGACTGGGAAATTATGGAAGTTGAAGTCCGCACAGCTTAAAGCTACCAAAGTTGAGGGGGGGTGGGGGAAACGAACTAAGGAAAAAAAATAGAATTTGTTAGCTTCCAGCAGCACCATTAGATATGGTTATCTAAATCTAGAATTTAGGATGACTCTATGTCTACTCTATACCAACCAATTGATGATTTGCAAACATCGCATTGAAAAAAAGAAAACCACTCTCCTCTTAAAATTGCAAAACACTGCAGTCAGTTATCCCAGGGGTGGGATTCTACCTGGTTGGACCAGTTTTATAGAACCGGTTATTATGATTCTGCCCAGTTCAGAGAACTGGCAAATTACACCACTGGTTGGCCCCTCCCCACTCCTCCCCACCCACTCATTCCTTACCTGGCATGCGTACCATCAAACTTACCTGCTAAATTGCTATTTTTCTTTTTTTTTTTCCCCCAACCATCAGCTGTTCTGCTGTGCTGGGAGATTTAGTTTAGCTAGAAAGCAGGAAATCATTGGATTTCCTGCTTTCTAGCTAAACTAAAAGCAGAGCTGAACCTTCCTTAGGACGGAAGCTTCTATTTTTCAGTGCAGACTCAGGTAGCAGATTGCAGAAAGATAGATCTCTTAGTGAATGTGTGATTCTGTGAGCAACTCAATCTGCCTGCCTGTTTTGCCTGATTTTGGGTAAAAGTTGCTCTTTAAAAAAAAAAAAAAATATTTACAATATTTACATACAAGCCGTGCCTACCTAGTCACGTGACTATCAAGCCACACAGTCAGCAAACCACACCTACCCAGTCACATGACCACCAAGCCACACCCACAAATTAGGCCACGCCCACAGAACCGGTTGTTAAGAAATTTGAATCCCACCCCTGGCTATGCCTGAAAGACAACTTTCTAATTTCTAGAGAATTTAAAGCCCAACATATGCTACCACATCAGTGTGTTTGCACTCTATCAGGACAGAGCAGGAAAAGCAGCTACGACCACAGAAAATACCTCAGCAAAAGGTAAAAATATCTGGTTTAAATATCTGGTTTAAGGCCTGAGATCATCTAAGACAGGGGTCCCCAACCTGTGGGCCATGGTCCACTAGTGGGTCATGAAGGGTTTGCAACCGGGCCGTGGAAACAGTCGACAAGTGCATCCTCACATTTAAGTGAGTGACAGAGGCACACGTTCATGCCACTCATGCAAATGGAGTTGCAAGTGTATGTGCGTGCTTGCCGGCCACTCACACGGAACCATCCCCTCTCTCCGCCCCGCCCCCCCCGCCTCCCAGCCTGCAAAGCCAGAAATGTTGGGGAACTCTGATCTAAGATGATCAACTTTTTCACAAAGATTTCCTTTGTAGCTCCATTAACGGGACCTCAGATTGTGAATGTAACTATGGAAGATGGGAGCATTTTGGTCTCCTGGAGAGACGTTCCAGAACATCAGAGGATGGGGTGTATCATTAATTATAAGATTTATTTGCAGAAACAATTCTCTTCTGTACCCCCAGATGTCCACGGTAGGTACCTTATAAAAATTAATAACTTTAACTCTTAAAGTGCAAAATGCGTAGAGTACTAAAAATGAGGGGTGGGCAACTTTCAGTCAATCAAGTAGCAACACAGACAAATAAAAACAGTAAACACTGGCCTAATCAAGGAACAACCAAGGCCACTCCTACCAACATTGACAGGGCAAGCTACCGGTAGAAAAAGAGAGCAAACTCCAGTTCCTTCCAGCACTGCTGATGTTACCAACGCCTACAAGAAAGCCTACCAAACTCAGAGGGTACCAGTTCAACCCTGAGCTATAAATATTCTCTTCTATCAATAGCTTTCAGTCAGTAATTAAAGGTATTCAGATAACAGATAACAGATAATCAGGATTGGAAGGGACCTTGTAGGTCATCTAGTCCAACCCCCTGCCCAAGCAGGAGACCCTACACCATTTCTGACATTGGATGGGAGTCCAATCTCTTCTTGAAAGTCTCAAGTGATGGCGCTCCCACAACTTCTGAGGGCAAGATGTTCCATTGGTTGATTGTTCTTACTGTCAGAAAGTTGCTCCTTATTTCTAGGTTGAATCTTTCCTGGATCAGTTTCCAACTATTATTCCTTGCCTGGCCTTTGGTTCCTTTGGAAAATAGCTTGACTCCCCCACTCTCTGTGACAGCCCCTCAAATATGGGAACCCTGCTATCATGTCTCCCCTGGTCCTTCTCTTCACTAGACTAGCCATGCCGAGCACTTGCAACCGTTCATTTTATGTTTTAGCCTCCAGTTCCCTAAACATCTTGGTTGTTCTTCTCTGCACTTTTTCTAGAGCCTCAACGTCTTTTTATAGTGTGGTGACCAAAACTGGATGCATTCCTCTGTGCCCAAAGAAATGGACACTGCCTTAAATCACAAGGGCAAAGATATACAGCTTGATTTGATAAGAGCTTATGCTATGAAACAATTATGCTTTCACCTTTTAATTTTTCCAGAGATCTCTAAACCAGCCCCACAGCCCTTTTATATAAAAAACATAGAGGCTGGTGCTTCCTATGTTATTTGGATGACGGCTTCTACGAATGCTGGAGAAAGCCCGAAAGGGAACGAAGAGCTGATCTACATAAAAAGTAATTGTAATGTGTCACCATTAGGAGTATAATGGCTGAGGTTTATCTTTTTCATGCAAAAACGTTAGGTGAAACGGTTTGATTTTTAGATAATAAGCTGCGAAAGTTATCTTCTCCAACTGGAAAGTTGGGATTACTATGGGTGTCAAACTGGCAGGCCGCAAGCCGGATTGCATCATGTGCAGGCCATGCCCATCCCAGCTTTGTGAAGGGGAAAAATACTGTGAAACATCACGTGATGGCAACATGACGCAGCAAGTTTGACACCCATGCTACATAGGAAAGAATCCAGGATGCTTGCTTTAATAAACAGGTAATCCTCCACATACAACCACAGTTGGGACCAGTTGTTATGACTATAAGTTGAGGCACCTATGTGACCAGTTTCTGTTTTATGACCATTTTTCAGCAGTCATTAAGTGAATGGCACAATCATAAGCGTGAACCCATTCTTTCAAATGGGTGGGTCGGGGGGTTAACCAGAAACCAGCAAAAAAAAGCTTTACAAATTGTGGTCATGGGACAACTAGTCATAAAGGAGAGCCAGTTACCAAGCATCCAAAATGTCACGTGACCATAGGGGGTAATGATGTGGATGAACAAAAGTGCTTTATGGGCTATAAACCATCTGTTCTGAGCCCTGTGATTTTGAATGGTCATTAAACAATCAGGCATAAGTTGAAGCTACCTGTAGTAACGTGTGTCTTACAGAGTAATGTGTCATGGATCTCATCCAAACAAGTTGTAGAAGACTAAATAGATTAAATAAATGTCTTCAAAAAGAAATAAGTTTCTAAATTCTGGTTAATCTAAGCCTTAGATTCTAAGTTGTAATGTTTTAATACCTGTACTTTTGTCTTAATATAGCAAGTGGATTTATACATGCTTCTCACTGGGTTCTAATTGTAGCCAGTTTCCTTATTGGATTTTTTGTCTTCTTATGCTATATACCAGCTGTTCGGCAAAAGTAAGTGATCCTATTTTTTTTGTATTTGTTTTTTTTTTTAATGTTTAATCATGTCTAATTCTCAGAGACTGCCTGGACAGGTGCATTCAGTTTTCTTGGCAAGGTTTTTCAAAAAATTCTTTGTCTTCATTGTCTCCTTCCCAAAGCTGAGGAAAACTGACTAGGACACCCAACAGTTTTGGACCTAAGGCAGGACTAGAACTCACAGTCTCCTGGTTTGTGGCTTGATGCCTTAACCAATACACCAAACTGGCTTTCTTTAGATTAGTGTTTGTTAGATATAGAGTGACATAAAATTAGAATACAATAAAAATGGAATTAAATAGGATAATTCACAAGGGAAAGCATTCCCTTGATTGTAAAAATATCCAGAATGAGTTGAGACATGTAGGGTGAAGTTAAGCAGGGTGATTTTTCTTTAATTTTAAAAGCTTAATACCAACAGGGAGGCTATTAATGGCTGCTTGTGGACCCGTAAAAACCTAAATTCCTTCACAGCAAACACCTTGCCTTTCTCAACAACTTCAGATCAGTGGTGCGTTTCAAACGATTTTTACCACTGGTTTGGTGGGCATGGCTTGGGCACACTTTGCGCACACACACACACACACACTTTGCGCATGCACCAAACACACACTTTGCACAGGCGCAGAGTCTTTCTGACTCACCTCCTGCAGTCCTGCACTCTCCCTGTCACTTCAGCAGCTGCCATGCAGCAATCTGCTTCAGCTCATTCCTTCAACACTATGTTCATTCTTCATGATGATTCTTCTCAGTGCCCTGCCTTTAATTGTACTTTGTCTTGTTGAATTCCAATGCACCCATACATTTCAGCTCCTTATCTTTAGATATGCATGTGCATCCAACCCTGCATCAGGGACGGGATCTGACAGGGTTAACTACTGGTTCGGTGACTAGTGAGGTTCGGTGATTTACGATGTGCTTCCCTGCATGCTGCGCGCGTGCCTGTAAATCGTCATCAGCTTGGTGCCTGGACAGCTGAGCAGCGCTGCGTGCAGAGAAGCAGCCTTTGAAAAAGCCCTTTTTTCCTGCTTTTTAAACTGCAGCTGTGCCTTGCACAGCAGCTGAGGTTGAAAAAGCAGGAAATAAAGGTCAGGTAAGAACCCGGGTGGGTGGCTGGGCAAAAACATCAGCTGCTCTTCAGAGCTACCAGTTCTACAGAGGTGGACAGAACTGGTAGAAACCCACCCCTGCCCTACATTCTGACAGGGTTCCATGGGTATAATGTTTCATTTTTGGAAACCAAAGGGGCACTCTACAAAAAGACCCTGTTTTAAACATGAATGCTCTAATATTATCTTTCTGTCTTTTTAGTTGCTTCTTCCTTTCCTTTATCGTAGCAGCCTCTCTATTGTATGTCTACTACTCCACTAAGAGCCCAAAAGCCAACCAGAAAGGGCTTAGGCCTTTATACATACATTGAAGATATGTAGAGAAGGATGACCATCCAATGCTTATAGAACGGCCACCTTCTTAAACTTGTTTTTGGGAGAGAGAGAAAAGTAAACACTAATGAATATTATTTATTCATTTAATTTATATCCCCTCCCCCTTTTATTGCATTTTTGTAAATAAGATGGTGAACAAAGAGAATAACAGAGTTGGAAGGGAACTTGTGGGTCTTTTAGTCCAACCCTCTGCTCAAGCAGGACACCTTATATATACCATTCTGGATAAATGGCTGTCCAATTTATTCTTAGAAACCTCCAGTGGGGTAGCACCCACACCTTCTAGAGAGAAGCTGTTTCGTTGATTTGATCATTCTCACTGTCAGAAAATTTCTCTGTAGGCTGGTCCTCTCCTGAAACTAATTTCAGAGGTGGCATTCAGCAGGTTCTGACCAGTTCTGGAGAACCGGTAGTGGAAATGTTCGGAGAACCACCTCTGACTGGCCCCGCCCCCATCTATTCTCTGCCTCCCCAGTCTCAGCTAATTGGCTGGGTCTTCTTTTGTTGACTTGCACAGGGAAACGGAACTGGAAAGCAGATTAGTGAGGTGGTGAGGGAATGTGGATTTTACAGTATCCTTTCCCTGCCACGCCCACCAAGCCACGCCCACCAAGCCACACCATTCCCACCAAGCCATGCCCACAGAACTGGTAGTAAAAAATTTTTGAATCCCACCACTGGTGAGTTTCCATCCACTGCTTCCTGTCCTGCCCTCAAATGCTTTGGATAATTCCGAATACATTTCCCCCCCTACTTTCCCCGCAATAACAACCCTGTAAGATGAGTTGGGCTGAGAAATAGTGATTGGCTCAAGGTCACCCAGCCTGTTTTAATGCCTAAGGCAGGACTAAAACTCTCAGTCTCCTGCTTTCTAGCCAAGTGCCATAAATCAAGGTTCCCAAACCCCTGGTCCATGAAAGCAGCAGTGCACAAAGCTCCATTTGCGCATGCGCAAGATTAAGTTGTGCACACTAAACCATTTTTTCCTCCTTGCTGATCCACGGAGCCAGAAAAGTTGGGGAATGTTGCCTTAAGCCACTAGACCAAGCTGGCTTTGAAACTGGTTCCCACTTTAACAAGACAGAAAAGTCAAATAACAATTTCCTTATAGGAATAATAATTGGCAGCTTTCTGCACTTTTACAATAACCCAAATCTGCTACCTTAAGCAGATCACATCAGACCTTCACAATTTATAGGGCATAAACCTCATCTTGCAAGCAAACATACAGGTGGTCCTCGAATAGCTCACTTAAGTGATGATGACACTGAAAAAAAGTGACTTATGACCATTTTTTCACCCTTGGGGCTGTTGCAGCATCTCCGTGGTCATGTGATTTATATTCAGGTGCTTGACAATCAGTTCATGTTTATGACGGTTGCACTGTCCTTTTGCAAGGTCATGTGATCCCTTCTTACAGCCTCCTGGCAAGCTAAGTCAATAGGGAAACCAGATTCCCTTAACAACCATGTTACTAACTTATCAACTGCAGTTTATCAAATGTGGCAAGAAAAGTCATAAAATGGGGGCAAAACTCACTTAAGAAATTTCTCACTTAGCAACACAAATTTTGGGCTCAATTGTGTTCACAAGTTGAAGACTATATGCATTGTACTCATGCCAGAAGAGTCTCATATCCACTAGCTTTGCCTCGTTTAATAATTTATAGATATTTTCCACCCCACAGTTGTGGCATTATCATCACTTAAAACTAACGGCTGCATTGTGTTATTTTATTTTTTTCCACTAGGATTTTCTCTCTCTTTTCTGCTCTGGTATTTGGTTGGTATCCAGATCCAGCCAACTCTACATGGGCAAAAGAATTCACATCTACAAAGGTAGACCAACCTACTTGATGTCTCCAATTCAGCTGATTGACTTTTCTCTCTGAATAGAAAAAGATCTTCCTTAAATTTGAGATACTTAAAAAAGTGTAAATATAAATACTTTTAACTTCAGATTTCTAAGATTTCCTCTGATCGAAAGTATATTTTTTCAGATGAAAAACACATGCCAAATTTATTGATGTAACATTCTCATATGAACCTCAGAATCTGCTATACATTGTGATGAAAACCCCCACTTTATACAAGAATTTACGAATGTCAATTGTGCCGAACAGTTATATAAATGTGACATTTGTGCAAAAATGTTTGCTTTTAAACAAAGAGAGGTATATTTTATTATTATCAAACTCAACATTTTCTCTCATTTCTCTTGATTAAGGATGAATCAAGGTCCAATTCTACAGAGTTTTTAAGCCAGCCAGTCAGATCTGAAGACCCTGAAACTCTACAAATAAAGGAAGTCTTAATTGAAAGACATGACTTTGCTTTTATGGATGGGCACATATACAAAAATACCAAGACAGAAGCACTATCTATGAGAACTAACAACTGCAATTCTTTGACTACCGATATAACAGATAGTACTGGGAACTATCAGTTGCCATCTTTGTACAAAAAACTTCTACCTGAAGATCCAAGTGAAAGCCAAATATTTTCTGAGTGCTTAGTTAATCCACTCGAGAATGCCACAGTAGATTACCTGCCAACCACCACACCTGCCATTATGACTTCCGAGGAAGACAGCTTTGGATCTGAACTCAGTTCATTGCCTATTTTCCCTATAACTTCTTTTCGAAGAAATTCAGGTTTTTTGGGTGGAAAACTTACTCTGGATGCTATAAAAATGGACTGTAGTTCTTTCACAGAGAACCCTTTTTTAAGAACAGAGATATAGGGAAGGTTGCTCTTAAGCATTAAAACTACCTGTACTGTGAGGCTATTCTCGTGATACTGTAGAGCAGTGGTCCCCAACCTTTTTTGTGCTGGGGCCCGGTACCAGCATCACAAAATCATCCGCAGCCCAGTACTGGCATCAGCACGCATGGCCAGCCAGCCGTCCCCCGCTTCTCCCCACCACCTTCAACTCCTACTTTGTACCTGTGTCGATGGACTTCGCGACGGCTTCGGGACGGTCACTCGGCTCGCCTTGCCATGCGTGCTGAAAGAATCCTCGCGCCTTAGTTTTGTTTGAAACCCCCCCCCCCATGAAACTAAGGCGCGAGGATTCTTTCAGCACCCAAACGCCGCTTTCTACCCAGAAAAGCTCACCGGAAGCACTTTTTCATCAAAACAATATGGCGGTGCCCAGCAAACCGGCGGCCTGGTAGAAATTGTTCCACGGACCGGTACCAGTCCCCGGACCGGTGGTTGGGGACCCTTGCTGTAGAGGGCTCCCAAATGCTTCTCATGGGAATTAGACTGTTTTTTATTTTTACGAGACAAAAGAAAGATAAGCAATTTCATTATTTCAAAAACTGGACACTAGAGGGGATTATGTTTTTAAGTAGAGGAAAGATTTACAAGCCGGTAGAATATTGCAAAATTCATTGTTATACAAAGGTGATGTTTGAAAAATGAATTCAGAAAATGCTAGCTACAATATTGACAATCTCAGTAATTATTTCTGCTTCTATGGACAGATATCCAAATGTTCAATGTTATTGAAGAAATGACAGATATAGAACAAATTTTATCTGACAAGATAGAGATGGTTTTAAAAGTGGATGTATAACTGACAGGCCAAGATAATTACTTTAAAAAGAATGTTTCACTGGATTTACTAAAGAAACTGGCTTAAATTTACTTAAAATTTAACAAGAGAAGCACAAACCAAAGGCATGGATCATGTTTCTCTACTTGATTTATAAAAGAGGCTTATTATAGCCTTGAAGAACTGTGTTTGATGGGATAAAGAAGAAATGGAAAAAAACAGGTCCCATGATATTTGAATGAAGATTAATATGGTTAGAAATAAAAAATAAAGTTGAGTTTTTTTGATTAACATTAAAACAAGATACATTGTTAGTAGTCCCTTGGGATTTTGGGATGACATCAGGACTGAAAAGATGTTGTTGCGTGGATTTGTTTATAAAGAGGTGGAATTTTGGATGAAATAATAAATGTTTGTAACCATAGAGAATCACTAACTTACTTTGTGATGAAGGCTGGAAATCACTTCTTTACATATATATTTTTCTTTCTTATGCTGTTATCTTTCTTCTTTCTCTTTTCTTTGCTTTTGCATTTTTGTTACTTTTATTCTCATTTAGTTTGTATTAGTTTATAGTGATTAAAACTCTTTAATAAAATGGAATGTGCATAAATTAGGACAGGTAGCAGGCGTAGCTATGGCAATTGACAAACAAAGTCTTTTGACAGGTGTAACCTGTCATTTGGCTGACCCATTGCAGGTATTTTCAGTTGTGAGGGGAGAATCGAATCCCCACACCTCAGCATGAGGTGAGATCATAGCTCGTGGTGTCTGAAGCACCAATAGGGCTGATGCAGATTGGATGCTTTGTAATAAGGACTGGGACATAGCCTAAAAAATCCTGGCCTTGAGGGTACAGGTAGTCCTCAATTTACAATTCATTTAATGACCATTCAAAGTTATAATAGCAATGAAAAAAAGTGACTTATGACCGTTTTTCACACTTATGGCTTTTGTGGCATCCCCATGATCATGTGATCAAAATTCAGATGCTTGGCAACTGACCCATGCTTATGACATTGCTGTGTCCAAGAGCACCTTTTGCAACCTCTTGACAAGAAAAAACAGGGAAGCCAGATTCACTTAACAACCATGTTACTAACTTATCAACTGCGGTGATACACTTAACAACCGGTAAGAGAGGTCAAAAAATGAACATAAATTCACTTAATATCTTGCTTAACAACAGAAATTTTGGGCTCAATTGTAAGCCGAGAACTACCTGTATTACCAAAATAGGAATTGGGAGAACCACTGTGATCAGCTACAGCAGTTGGTTGTACAGCAGGGATGTCAAACTCAAGGCCCAGGGGCCAGATCCAGCCTGCGGAGCCACCCTGGAAACAGCAAAGGAACAGCAAAGGCCCATGGTGCCTCTGTCAGTAAAAATGGAGCTCGCAAGGGCCACGGTCCTGAGTTCCGTTTATGCTGGCAGAAGGTTGCAAGAAACTGTCACAGCTAAAAATGGAGCTGGCAGAATGTTCGGGCCACCATAGGCACCCCCAACACAAGTGACAATGAGCTGACCATGCCTGCCCCGCGGTCAAACACAACCCTGATGTGGCCTTCAATGAACTTGTTTGACACCCGTCATAGAGTAGGGGTGTCAAACTGGTAGCCCGCAGGCTGGATATGTCACATGCAGGCCACACCCACCCCAGCTCGGCAAAGAGAAAAAACATTGCGATACATCATGTGATGGCAATGTGATGCGGCGAGTTTGACACTCATCATAGCTGGAAAAAAAGCTGGAAGCTGGAAAAAAAAAACTGATAGGAAATGAGGAGTTTCTGTGAGAAGCCTTCCCTTAGCCGTGACAAATGTAATACTCTGTAGGATTGGGAGACAGATATGGGGCAGAATACCTGTCAGGAACTGAAGTTGCTGCAGTCATTCCCACAGAAGGGATGATATCAACAAAACCAATCTCAACCCATCTTTTCCCTAAACCAATTAAACTGGATGGCCAGTTAACAAAAGAAACTTGACATTCGGTGTAGTCAGTACATTAGCATTCACATCTGATGATGCAAGCAAATCATGGGATTGAAATGCCCACGAGGAACTCCTATGATATCATCAGAACAGCAGCCAACTCAGGTAAACAGTAGGAAGTACCAGCCCTTAAGGGCACACCTGGGTATGAGTGGAATTGCCACAACAAAGTTAGGTTTTGAAACACCCCCCAATTGATTTTTATGCGTGAATCCCAAAAACTACAATGCTACAATGCTTATATTATGTAGTATAACAGCAATTACGAACCAAAATTTAAAATACACAAAGATACATCAAAGCAGCTGGAAAGAGAACATTCATTTTTCTTTCCATACTTACAATACTCCTGTTATATTTCCAGCTTAGGAAATATAAAACACAGTCTCCAAGCTTATTTTACGTTAGTGTCAAAATAGGTTCCAATATTTTCTGGGGAGGTGGAGCAGGAGAGGGTTGAGAGAGGTTATTGGAGCATTAAAATATCACAAACGTGCTTTTTTGCTTTATTTAAAGCACAGGCTTAACATGTTTTGGAACTGAATGGCTTTGGTGTTTTGTTTTTTCAAAAAACGAATTCACAGTAGCATCATGGGTATGACCAGTAACAAAAGACCATCAGCTCAAGAGCCCAATACAAAACAAATGAAAAAATGAGCTGTAAAAGATCTCCAGATATACTCATTTTTTATTCAACCATTGAACTGATGAAGTAGAAAACAAATTTTAAATCACTCTTACCACCACCTCCTCCAAAAAATAAAAAGACAACATTTTTAATAGATAAGAGCTGGCTTTGGAGCCTGGCTTCTAGTTTGTCAATGTCGTTCACCTTTTAGAAACTGTTAAAGGGACTGAAATGATTTTCCCCCCTCTACAATTGGAAGAGAATACTTGAATTATCCAAGCACATCTTATTTCTAATTTAAGATTCCATTGCTAGTCAGTGAATTCATTTGAATAGGAACGTCGCTTGCTAGAAAGTTTACTCATTTTTAAAAAATAAAATCGCCATTTGTGCTAGGAAATGGAGCAGAGCTACTGCATTTCTTAGTCAATACTGAAAATATGTAAATTCTCCTGGAGCTCTTTCTGCCACTGATACAATGGGACTTGAGAAACTGTTTTAGAATAATCCATCTCATTGGATGGATTTTCCATCCTGTTTGATTTAGGGAGATTCTTAGGGACCTCATGAATCCCCTGAACTTTCATTCAGGATTGGGGCACTATAAAGGCTAACAATGTTACTATGACGTATTTCATAGATTAGTGTCAATTTCACCAGTTTGAGGGAATGCAAGCCCACATTTTTCTTTGTCCAAAGAAACAGTTTCAAATCCTTTTGCAGGATGCAAGTATTTCTTGCATCCTGAAAAAGGATTTGAAACTGCTTTGTTTCTTTGGACAAAGAAAAATGTTGAAAAAGATTCCAGAGTAAACTTAATTGTAATCTAAACAAGACATTCTCCATTCATTTGAAAGGCAACAGTTCACCCTATCTTGCTGCCTTGACTTGTGTTTAACGCCATACAAATCTGGGGATCAAATGTCCAAGTTTTGGCAGTGACAGAGAACCAGAGAAAAGCACATGCTCAGTAGTGTTTCTGGACAGACTGTTACTCTCTTACCTTCATAAAATGGGTGGAACTTCAGCTGGTCCAGAATGTTCCAATTATAAACTTTAAAATGAAACCCGAGTCAAGTTCAACTCTTGGTAACTTCAAGGACTCCTGAAATTTTCTTGGCAATATAATAGTAGTAGCAGCATTATGCTGCTGGCTTTTGTTGAACTTCCAGATCTACCCTACAGCATTAGTATTTCTACAGGTCTCCTATCAAAGTACTAAACAGGTCCAATCCTGCAAGGCTTCCTATTGGAGAGGTTGGTCAGCTGTTGCCACCCACAGTGAGATAATTTACAGAAGCCTAGGATTTAAATAAGTAATGTTTTCCCAGTGGAAATTGCCAGAAACTTCAGGTCTGTTCTTCCACTATCTGATCATTCAGAGAAATGGCATCGTATCTTTTAATTGCTGCTTCCGAGTCCAAGACCCAGTCGGTTCCACCTTTATTTACCATGCTTTTCATAGCAAATGTTTTCTTCAAACTTTTTGCCCATAAATTGATCCATGAGCCTGCTGAAGTTCACTCGTTTTACTTGCCTTATTATATGCACTGACTGCACTTCATCTTTTCAAGATCTCCTGGATTCCTCTCAAGAGTTGCTCC